AAAAAAAAAAAAAAAAAAAAAATAAAAATAAAAATTATATTATTAAGGTTTTACACTTGATTATTGATTAATTTAATTATTAAAAAACTTACTCATAATTTTTTTTTTTTAATTATTTCATTTATCACTCATTTCTAAATAAACAAAATTCACCATGCTTGTCAACACGCTTATTTTATTTTTTTGAGGTTAGAATATTATTTTTCAAACCTCGACCAATGACAGCATAAGCATGCATGCGATATATATAAATTTTAATTTTTCAAATAAAAAAATTAAAAAGCATCAAATTTTTAAAAAATTTTAAAAATGTTTTTTTATTTTAATATAAAAATAAAAAAATTTTTATTTTTAATTTAAATTAAAAAATTATATATTTTATAATTTATATTAAAAATTTTATATTTTTCAATTTATTTTTTTTAGATCTAAAAATATAAATTTTTTTTTCTATTTTCTGGATATTTAGCTTTATTTCCATGAAAATTAATTCAGCAGATATTTTATAATTTTAATAATTTTTATAACAAATGAATTATGGCAAAAAACATGTAGAAATTTTAAAAAATTAAAAATGCAATTTTTCAAAAATAACTTTTTGGAACAAATTTTTTTTCTTAAAAAAATAATCAAGTAACTGTTAACTTTAGTCATTTACTTTCTAATTAACAAAAAAAAAATTTTTAATTTTTAAAATTTACAATTCTTGGAAATACATTTTAATTTTTTTTTTATTTAAATAATTAAAATTGTCATTCGTTAAATTTTTTTCTGCCGAAAAAAAATATTAAAAGGAAATTTTAAATAATAATTTTTATAAAAATGACCACTTAAGTTATGAAAAATAAAAATTACTTAATTGTGATTATAATTAATAAACTATGCTCTAGGATTGAAATACGGTGAGTAAATCGGTTCTTTAGGAAGCATACTCGGGGTCAGATTAACATCCTGATCCTTGACCCGAGTCAAGAGTCTTATCACCGGTGTTGGAATGCAGGTAGGTTTTAATTTTTCAGCGTTTTCTTTATCACCGAGTTCCTGATTACTATCATCTTCATAATCATAATCACTGACATTTCCAACTGGAGCGCTATAATTTTTGAAATTATGAAAGGCAATTTCGTCATCGAGCAACGACAAATTTTGAGTTCTCTGTTCCAGTTCATCGTCCTTTAAAATACTTGATTCTGATACCAGGGTCTCGTTAAAACTGAAAAATAATTGCAATTTATTATTAGCAATTATTTTTTATTAAATTTATTGTTATAAATCATTAATAATTTATTATTAAAAATTACATGACACTGAAGTTAGCAGACGTCTAAAAATTTTTTATTTTTTTTTTTTATTAATTACATTACAACTAAAAATATATTTTTAAAAAATTGCACTTACAGTTTTTCAAGTTTTTAACAAATGACAATTTTTTTCTTTTTTTTTTTTTTTTTTTTTTTGTTAGGGTAAATGCACCAGTTGTTGACCGGTCATCCAATTAGTTGACCGATGTATAAAAAAATGTTAATTAATTAATATTTTACAAGGGTTTTTTTTTCTTAAAGTATTAAAATAAAACAATATGGCATTTAATCATCATAATAAAAAATTACGTAATTAATTGGGCAGTGATTATAGCTTTAAAAAAATATTCTGAGTTTGTTTACAACGCAATAATAAAAATTACGTATTATTGGCAGTGATTATAGACTTTAAAAAATATCTGAGTTTGTTTACAACGCAACCAGCCATAAAGCGGTCAAAAATAACTAGCGTACAATTATTGGAGAGTCAGTGCATTTCATCATTAATTTAGTGATATTTATCGGCATAATATAAAATATTTTAGTTTTATTATGTTAATAAAAGATCAGATTCCAACTTTATTGAAAAAATAAAGTTAAATTATAAGTTTTAATATTATTTTAAGACCGGTCAACTATTGGATCCGTCAGAAGCCCTTTACCCAGTCAAAAATTCATTCGGTCATTTATTAGACCCTCTGATTTTATCACAATCCAATTAATCACCGTATAATTATAATACTAACTTCTTAACTCCAAAATTAAATCTGTCAAGTGTTATAAAGTACTTTAGTCATTCAATATTTTGTAAATATAAAAATAATCATTATAAAATGTATATTTATAATTAAAATAATACTTAAAATCTTTTTTGATTATTAAATTTTATTTTGTTCTAATTTTTTTAGTGAACGGTTATATCAAAGAACGAATTATTAGAAGAAAAAATTGCTAAGCAATTAAAAAAATAAAAAAGAGTTACAAGCTAGTAAAAAAGCTTTAATTGAAAAAAACAAGGAGAAGAATAAAAAAATTTCAAGTGAATCAGAAGAATTATCGTGATCAAAATGAATTTGTAATTATTTGTGACCTAAAGAAATGTGACTTTATGTTAATTATTGCTATTATTTATATTATTTTATAAAAAAAGTACGATTTAAAATTATATTGTATGTTTAGTTTTGTTAAAGATGTCGTTAATACTTCAAAAGTACTGCATAAATTTAATTACATACATGTATAGTTTACAAAATTATACTTATAATTATTTGAGCGGTGAATTAATTGGAGAACGGTCGGTCATTTATTGGGTTTCTTCGGTCAATAATTGGTGATTTTAGTATTTCAACATTCAAATAACAAAATTAATATAATTTTGTTAATTTTTATTATAAATAGTTATTAATTATTATTAATTAAGTATTTAATTTTAATAAAATCCATTACAAATTGTTTTTAGTAGGTTAATAGATTTTTTATAGCTTAGTACAGAAAAAGAAAACCTTAATCGGTCAACAATTGGTGCATTTACCCTAGTCATTTTTTCAATAAAAAAAATTTTTTTAATTTTTAACTGTCAGCTAACTTAATTTTCATAAAATTACACATTATTATTAAAAATTACATTTACGTATAGCTACTGTTCTTTATTTTTATTAGCTAAACCGATAAATCCTTGCTACATTTATTCAATAAATTTTATTGTAAAGCAAGAAATTTTGTACACCTCTTTGTATCTCTGAGTATCCAGTTAAACTTAAATTTTTTTTATAATAATTTAGTTATTTAGTAATTATAATTATATTATTATAAATTTCATTAGTTTAATTACATTAAATTTATTTTTAATTATCTTTGTATACATCAAAAATTTATGTAATTTACTTGTAAGTATTTTGTAAAAATTCCCATTTAATTTAAATAAGTGTAATTTTTTTTAAATAATTTTTTACAATTAATTTATTTCTTAAATAAAACCCAAATATAATAAAAATTAATTAATCAGATATTTAATAATTTTAAGAATTTTAGTGACAAAATCAATTATGGCAAAAAAAAAAATTGATATGTAAAAATTTTTAAAAATGAAAAATGCAATTTCTTAAAACTAATTTTTCAGAACAAATTTGTTTGTTAAAAAAAAATTTTTTTAAATTGTCACGTGACTGCTAACTTTAATGTTACTAATATATTTGATCCTAAAATCAGGATTAATTAAATTGTAACAAAAAAAAAAAATATTATTTAAAAAATTGCACTGATAAATTAAAAAAATTTTCTGTATTTAAAATTTTTTTTTATAATAAAAAAATAATTTAATATTTATTCATAATTTGCTCAAATTTAAAAGTAATTCTATTTATGTTGTCATTTATAATTTATAAAAATCTATCATATAGATAATTTATGTTTATGAAAATAAAATTAGCCGACATCTAAAAATTTTTATGATTCTTTTTTATTAAAGAATTATTACAAAAAAATTTTTTCATTTGTTAAAAACTTTAAAAACTATAAGTGCAATTTTTAAAAAATATTTTTTAGTTATAATTTAATAAATTAATCAAAATAAAAAAATAAAAAATTATGCGATTAACTTTATTATTATTACATGTACTTAATTCATTTTATTTTATACTTTTTTGCCATCTTGACATTTAAATTTGTGTAAATAAATAAATATAATAAAAATTAGCCTACCTAGTTTTCTGAAGAGGAATATAACCGTGTTTTTGAAGAAAATCCTCCAATGCTTCACAATCCGGCTTAATAGAATCATTTATTATCGCCTCGCATTCCTTGACGAACCGGTCAACATCAGCCGTCGACTCTTTTTGTTCTTCAACTAGTTCATTCAATTCATCCTGAAAAAAAACATTTATTAAATCTATAATAATAAAGAAGAAATAAAATTAAATAAAAAATACTTACATGAACTTTGTTAATGGAAACCAAAAAACTTTCAATCAGACCTTGCGCTTCCTCATTAGGAGCTTCAGTATTGCTCAAAAGCATGTGAGGAGTCTCCCAAGTTCTCTCCAGCTTCTCCAGTTGATCATCTATCACCCGTCCTAATTTCTTCAAACTGATTATTGACATTTTTAATTATTAAATTAAATTAATAATTTTTTTAATGTTGATGTTTACAATGCGGGGTATTTTGGGTTATGTTGTGCTGAAAAACGGCTTTTTTTAACTAAGCTGGTCAACTAGTAGCCGAAATTACCAATTGAGAGAATTTCTGGGATTTTTTTTAAGTTAGTTCTAAAAAGCGCCGTGGGGTGGCGAATGTCGCGCTTTTCTCTCGAGGGCAGAAACTGGGGTACAAAGTGATAACTTCGAATTTTTTGATGGAATATTTACTCTGGTTTCCCTTCAACACACGCATAAATCTTTCGCCTTTTACTAAAGATTTCCGTGGAGGGGAACATCTGATGAGTCTATAAGACAATTTTTTGTGTGCCCGGCGTAAGCTGGGCCAATAATTAATTTCAAAAATAAATTTACTCTCCTAAGGTATAATTCTAAGGAAAAATCCTTTGAATGAGTTTTAATTTAAGAGTTTTAAAGAAAAAATTAGGAAATTATGATAGTGGTAAAAATAAATTGAAATTGTAAAAGAATACTTAAAAAGATTTACAGTGATAATTTTATTAAATTGTTAATTTAATAATTTTATTGTTGTAAAATTATATGAAAAATTTTGAATTTTTTATATTAATGTCTAGAAAATATTAAAATGGTTTTAAAAATTTTTTTTGATCTATGTAAAATTGGAATTTTAGGGATGGAAAATTTAATATTGTAATTAAAGTAAATATTTAAGAAAATTTAGAAATATTCTTAAATTTTATTAAATTTGGGAAATTATATAATTTTATTGGAAAAATAGAAAAATTATATTTTTGTATTATAAAAATTTAGAAAGATAAGTAAGAAATTATTATTTGAAGTATAAATTATTGAAGTTATGTAATTTTTAGAAATTTAAAAATTAAATTGGAGAATTTTAATCACTGAAAAATTGTTTAGATAATTTAAGTATTTTATTGAAAAAATTTGATTGTAAAAGTAGAAAAATATATTATTAAAATTTTGAATTTAGTTGTAAAATTTTAATAAAAATTAAGGTGATATAATGTAGAATTTTTATTTAACTATTGATAAAATTAAATAATTTAATAATTAATAAAATTGAATAAATTTTAATTTTGGTATTTTAAAAATTTAATGTAAGAAAAAATAAAATTTATTAAATTATAGAATTTAGAAGTGAAATTTGAGAAAATTCAGAAAAAAAGTTATTGTATTTTAATGAAAACTTATACTGAAATAAAAAAAAAAAAAAATGACATTTGATAATTGTATTTTAGAAAAATTTAGTATTTTAATTTTAGAAAATTAATTGTTAAAATTTATTAAAAATATTTTCAAAAATTTAATAATTACTAACAACTAAGCAAATTTTTCCAGAAAATTTATTTTTCACACTTACAGAATTTTACATTACATTAATTTTCCAAATTATAAAATTAATCCTTCAATATATCCAGCAACTTTGAAACTTCTCTAATTAATGAATATTATACAAATCGTCCATGCGTATTGGTAACTTAAAAGTATTATCATTAATATAAATGTTCGGTAATATAAACTTCTTTTGTCTTTTTTTATACGACAGCCGTCTTCGTGAAATAATTCGTTGAACTTTGGTATTATTTGCAAAACCAACCCAAATATTTTCAGCAATACAAATAATCGCACTAATAATATAAATTATACAGAGCCCCAAAAAAAGCAACTGAATATGCTCAAAAGTAACCACTTCGCTGGAAAATTTGCTGTCATAGGTGTCAGGAAATTCACGAGATATAAATTTGTGTTCAAAGTAGTTCAGGATACCTGCAGTGCGAAATTTTAGCAAGCTGCAAAAAAGAAATTTTGGTAAATCGAAATGTGCTCACGTAAATTTTTTAAGTAGTGCTTTTTATATCATTTATATGGACAGTATAATTGTCAGATGCAATTTAATGTGACAGAACCAAAATTATTTTGGTTACTACAAAGAAAACTTACTACTTATTGATAAGTTTCCTGTACGGCCAAGAAGTGGTAGTAAGAAATGAAATCTTTCTGGGCTGAATGTGCTCAGAAACTTTAACAATATTGCACTTGTGTTTAACTTCCCGATAAGCGGACAGGAAAATTTCCGGAGCTTCAAAGTAGATCCTTTTGTCCTTATCACATAATTTGGACTTAAAATCCTGCTTGTCGTCCATTTTAGGACAGTTTGGTCGGTTCATGATGCTGTCTATCTGGAACCCCATTTTGGTCAAATTTCTCTCAGTCTGCTTGAGGTAATCACCGGGTCCGTCTTTGTTGCGGACGCAAATGGAATAGGAACCACGTCCGTTCAAATAGATCCCCTGGAGGTCGTTGAAGGGCATCATGGTGCCACTGATCGACAGATGGGACATCAGGGTGCTGTTGAATCCGCAGGTTATCAGAACGCTCATTGTCAGCGAGGTTAGGATCAAACAACGCATTGACCATGATGACGGCAAGTTTTGCATTCCTGTGGACAGGTAACATGTGCTTGAGCAAGATTTAGGAGCCAGTGTCTTGAGCAAAACCCCTAGTTGCTAGTGTCTTTTTCTACATATGGGTCTTGCTCAAGTTCATGTAGAAAGAACTGGTTCAAGATTTATATATAACTAGCTCAAGACAACTTGTGGAAGAATATGAGACAAGTCTAATGCAAGGTGCATTGAAAAACTTTCTGACGGATTTTTTGAATCAGAAACTCACAACAGACACTTACCCATGACTTGCTCAAGATTTGCTCAAGATCCGTAATTCTCAATAATTTGTTCATTTCTAAAGCATTTGTCAACCAAAAACTAACAGCAAATGTTGAAGCGTGACTTGCTCGAGATTTGCTCAAGATGCATCATGCATTATATATTTTATAGCACTTTTTCCCCTCAACTACTTGAAGATCTATTGATTCAGTGGTGGTCATTTTAAAATAATTTTGTCTTGATCGATAAAACAGTAGGTCTATACTCTAAAAGGTTAAGCTGAATGAGATCCACTGATCCTATAGTAAATATAGGAGGGGTAGAATGATGCGAACGGTCATTCGAAAACATTTGATCTTGAGCAAGTCTTGCATAAGTATATTCAGCATGCTTCTAGGGTCAGTCTTTCTCAAGAATTGATATAGTTAGTTTATCGATAAGCATCTTCAGATTTTCTCAATTTTCTTCCACAATTCTTGAGCTATAATCTGGCTGAAAGTTCTTGTACAAGGCTTGTTCAAGACTTGTCAATTGAATTTGCTACAAGTATCTGGAGCAAGACCCATAGGTAGAAAAAGACACTAACAACTATCGAAATTGAGACCAGACTTGCTCAAGCCTTAAAAACGATTGCTATATGGGTAGATACCTTGACCAGTTATGCCACCAAGAACACAAAGAAAGTTAAATGACAACACTGCGAATTCATTGTTCGACTCAATGTAATTCGAACACGCCATTTTCTTCAGCCGGTACATCCCAAAGAGAATGCCGCTTATTCCAACGATGTAGAAGATTGTTGCCAACCATAAGTCCGATCGGAATATCCTGACGTACCACCACATTGATACACGTGCTGCTACTTCACGGGTGTACAAAGAGTACCTAGTTTGAATTCAAGATATAGATATTTATCGTCAAAATGGCGACTTTTTATGAATTAAGCTAACTTACGAAATGGTGGTCAATTGATGGCTGTAGTGACAATGTCCGCCGTAGTATTTGTCGATGGTTACTGCGCCTAAGAGGACATCGCAACTACCTGAGAAGAATATGTCTAGCTTGTATCCTTTTCCGTTTTTGTACTTGGATCTATAAGTTGAGATTTTGCCGGAAGTATTAGAGATACGGAAAAATTGATAAGGACCTTTTTGGGGAATTAAAATTTCTACAAAAAAGGTCTCCTATCATTTTTTTATATCTTCAATATTTAATCTAGAATTTTGATTTAAAAAAATTATTTTTGAATACAAAATAATTTTGGTCTTACTTAAATTTCAGAGATTCTTCCAAAAGATTCCAAATACTTCCGATGTATCCATTAACTGTGTGATTGGTTCCTTTTTCCACATAAGGTAGCATCTTTAAAATTCCAATAAGTAAACTTATATTCAGATATTAATTCAAATTTTTTTTTTTTAAATTACCGTATCGACAGCAACGATAACTTCTTGCCCAGTGATGTTATCCGAGTAATCAACAGTGCAAACAAGAGTTCCATTCCCGTTTAAAGACTCAAAGTGATCAAATTCTTTGGTAGCTTCGTTCCACTTTCTGATCCTTCCGGAATAATACATTGCATTTTCAAATTCATTTTTGTTTCTTAGAATTTGAAGACAAACTTCTGCGTTAGTAACACTGTAAAATTTAGAGCTTGCCAATATCCCGAAAATCAAAAGATATTTTAAGTTTGATATCTTCATTTTAGTTAGACTTGTGCGTCGGAAGACTAAGGTACGTTGTGGTTTACTTCATCTGACAATAGTATTGTGTGACATGACAATTGGACATTGTTCGGTGAAAGACACGCTAATTGACGGGTTCTTTTGTTTGGTGAACTTTTGTAGCATTGATTGTTGTCAATAGTAATGTTATTTTCCGTGACTCAGCAAAATCACATCTTTGACCAAAATTATAATTAATAAGTCAAAATAGGGTTTGAATTTTTATAAATAACCCTATCAAAAAAATCCACATGAGTAAAGAAAATATTTTTCTTCCTGATTATTTTTTTGAGCAAAAAAAAATTTTTTTTAACAAGAAATTTCACTTATTCTAACCAAATTAATTCTCTTGCTTTAAGAAATACGTATCTTGATCCAAGAAAATTTATTTAAGTCCAACCATTCAAAAGATATCAATAGTTAGAATTTAAAAGGATCTCCGGATTTTTTAATTAACTAATAAAGAATTAAAATTATATTTCCGATACTAACTATATCAGCGTTTTCTGAGAAAGTATGCAGTCTTCATTTCCAGCAGTTAATAAATATCAGTATACTGCACAACTTTCGATAACGCCGCACTTTACGTTAACAAAGGTGCTGCTACTGACGCGCCATCCCTGATAGCTATAATCTTCCCTGCCCTGTTATCAAGCTATGACACATGACTCACGATTAGTTATTTACAAAGTTTACAAAGTCCTCGTGTCAGCCGGCCGGTGCAGTTAGATATATAAATATATAAGTGACTCTTTTTTATAGTCATATATTACACAAATTTGAGATTCCTGGTTTATTCTTTAACTTCCAATGGGGTAAGCAATTTTTGTCTAATCTATTTAAAATAAATAACTATCCGTATATATATATATATATATATATATATATATATGAAAATATATAAAGTTCTAAATTAATCTTGATAGCCAGTGCCTTTTTAAAAAGTAGTTGACTTTCAGCAGTTGCAGTTAACTTAACATCAAATTTGTGGTAATTTCCTTTCAACTTGACTGAATTACTTGGACAACTAATTGACGTCAAATTTCAGAATAATTTATAGGCAATTTAATTAAAACTGCTTGCTTTTCCAAGTCTTTCTTTGAAATTGCGCCAGTAGATTGACGGCAAGTTACAGTTAAGGTGGCTATCGTCAAGGTATAAATTAAAGAGCTTCAAGATTTCCTCAGTTGGATAACAAGGATTCTATTTTATCGAAAAACAAATGAATTTCCTAATAGTAAAGGTCTTGGGTTCAAATCCTACTAGTTGATATTTTTTTTTTTTTTTAGTACAATTTGGAAGTCAAACAATTAAAATACAATAATAAATTTAATGCAATAATTTATCTTCAATTTCTTCTTCAAAAATTCATACTTATAATTGCAGAACAATTTTTTTTTTTTAATTTTACGTTGAATAATATTATATCTGTCGTAAAATTCTCCAAAGTTCTAGACAATAATTTTCGTGACTATTTACTCAATAAATAAATTCATTTTGATTAATGTCATTTTATCGCTTTTGATAAAGAACAATACTTGATATTTAGTATTAGTAGACTTGTTATTGTTTAAATTAATCACACTTTTTGAAGTAATCGATCTCGCCTGAAGCTAATTAACAATCGTTAAAAATGTAGTTATTATAAGTACTTTTTTAATAATAAAATTCTAACAAATAATAATTTTTTTTAAGGGAGGATATTTTTCCGAACGAAATATGGTTTGAAATATTCAGCAGGATAGACATTCCACAGTTGATGGAACTACGGTTAGTGTGCTGTCACTTCAATGAACTGATAGAAAGTATCTTAAACAAACACCCGGCATGGAAACCTATGACCGATAACAAAATTTTGTACGAGTGCCTGGAGCATACGATGCAACGTGCTTATCCCTATGTCCTAATTTCCCATTGGATGGATATTGATGATCCGGTTATCTGGCGAGGAACCTATTTGTCTTTCATGAAATGGCAGAAGGTTCTGGTAAACGAGCCGACGATAGACGCCATTGTTTCAACGTCAAACTTTGGGGATGTTTCGTGTGTCTGTACCTTTGGTGAGTTTAAATTCTATTTTCTGCTAAAATGTCTTCAGATTTCCAAAACTAGGCTTGACATTGATTTGTTCTGCAGATAAGTACATAGCAATTGCTTACGAAAACGGAGCGATAGCAAATTACACTGTTGATGACATAAATCAGCCATTTTACTTAGCATACCACGGCACCGGGATAACTCAGATCGAATTTTGGTATTCCAGTTACGTAATTACATTATAGATATTTGTTAACAATTTTTAACTGATTGGTAGTTAACTAATGCTAACATTCTGTTGATTCTACCTCTAGATGGCGATGTACTGGTTGTATCCCTAGGCGACAACAACGATTTGAAGTTTTGGGACCTTGAGAACAAAGTTGAGATCGCTACTAATGGTTTCTTCGCTAACAGCATCAGGTAATCTTTATACCCAGGTAACATGTGCTTGAGTAAGATTTAGGTGCCAGTGTCTTGAGCAAAACCCATAGTTGCTAGTATCTTTTTCTACATATAGGTCTTGCTCAAGTTCTTGTAGAAAGAACTGGTTCAAAATTTATATATAACTAGCTCAAGACATTTAGTGTAAGAATATGAGACAAGTCTAATGCAAGGTGCATTGAAAAACTTTCTGACGGATTTTTTGAATCAGAAACTCACAACAGACACTTATCCATGACTTGCTCAAGATTTGCCCAAGATCCGTAATTCTCAGTAATTTGTTCATTTCTAAAGCATTTGTCAACCAAAAACTAACAGCAAATGTTGAAGCGTGACTTGCTCGAGATTTGCTCAAGATGCTTGATGCATTATATATTTTATAGCACTTTTTCCCCTCCACTACTTGAAGATCTATTGATTCAGTGGTGCTCATTTAAAAATAATTTTGTCTTGATCGATAAAACAGTAGGTCTATACTCTAAAAGGTTAAGCTGAATGAGATCCACTGATCCTATAGTAAATATAGGAGGGGTAGAATGATGCGAACGGTCATTCGAAAACGTTTGATCTTGAGCAGATCTTGACCAAGTCTTGCACATGTATATTCAGCATACTTCTAGTGTCAGTCTTTCTCAAAAATTGATATAGTTAGCTTATCGATAAGCATCTTCAGATTTTCTCAATTTTCTTACACAATTCTTGAACTATAATCTGGCCCAAAGTTTTTGTACAAGGCTTGTTCAAGACTTTTCAATTGAATTTGCTACGAGTATCTGGAGCAAGAACCATAGGTAGAAAAAGACACTTACAACTATCAAAATTGAGACCAGACTTGCTCAAGCCTTGAAAAAGATTGCTATATGGGCATCCATCTCATTCAAAGCCAAAAGATTCATCTATTTGGTTCATATCATATAAATAAACGTAATTGATTAATCAGCTCTGGAGAATGCCGGCATTTCTGCATAGGCGATATGGAAGGAACTCTAACCTCGTATGAGAGAGTCGGTAACTTTATATCACCTGGCTCGACGAAAAATTTGCCATTGAGGGAGACCCAACAACTAATTGCGCATTGTTATGTCGGAAAAAATGTAATCAATATCTCAATTTTAAATAGATTTATCACAAATAATACTTTGATAGCTTCGAATTATAACGTTTTATTTTAATTCTAGATGAAAGCAATGGCATATGAAGAGAGCGGCACTGTATTATTCGTATATTGGGCAGACATAGAAGGCGAAAAATTGACTAGATTTAGATTTATCCAGGAAAAAGATTGGTGTCGTTTGCCGGAAAATATAAACGCTTCTTTCCAACGATTGATTATGCCGAACATCACATTCTTCTTTGCAATCGGAGGTAAGTTTTAAGATCAGCACTGAAAGTCCTTGTCTCATTTAGTCTTTTGTCTAATTCAATTGAAAATTAACAGCAAGCAGTATTGGATCGACCAATTACTATGAAAATGAGTGGCACGAGTACAACTTGGCACCACACTTCGGATCCAACGTCAGGTCGATAGCGCTGCATGCTCAAATTCTTATTTTCGGTCTGGACGATGGTTCCATTCATTTACTCTACATTCGTAACTACGCCGATGTGATGGACCTGGAAGCGAAGATCCAAAATTCCAGGAAGATTGAAGTTGATACAGAGCCAATTGTTGACTTGACTATTTTGGAAGTTGACAAGAAACCTTGCATTGTTGCAGTCACTGAACAAAAAGTTCATTTGGTTAATTTTTTCTAGAGTTTTCCGTTTATATTTTATAAGTACTAATTGTTATCTTTTGCAATATTATAATAAACAGTGTTTTTAATATCAAAAAGCTTCCATGTTATTCATAAATTTTCTTCTCTCGAATCAAATATACTCATTTTCAAAATTTAAACCTGGAAAATTCCATTGCTTGTTTCTATCAATAATACTTTTTAAAATCATGAAGTAAAAAAAATTTTTTTCAAATCATTTCTGGAATTTTCGTTAAGCTAATCAAAAATCAGTGACAATATTGTCGATATTTATAACTATTTAAGTTATTTTTCTCCACCACCTTTCTGAGTATCATAATCTGCTGAATTAGTTAAATCACCATGAAGTTATCTTAGATAATATAAGATGGCGCTAATAGTCATCGAATTACGTATTTCAAATCCAACAATGTCTGATGACACATAACTCACGATTAGTTATTTACTAAGTCCTCGTGTCAGCCGGTGCGGTTAGACATATAAGTAGTAGTGATTCTTTCTTATAGTCACCCATTACATACACTTGAGAATCCTGATTTGTCCTTTAACTTCCAGTGAGGTAAGCGATTCTCGCTGAATTTAAATAAGTATCCGTAAATTTATATACGAACATATAAAAAGTTCTAAATTAAAGGTTTCAAGATCTCTTTAGTTGGATAACAAGGTTTCTATTTTACCGAAAATCAAATTAAAATCTGGCGAACGTCCTGAGTTCAAATCCTGATTACGGTTCATTTTTCTTTATCAGTGATATTTAAAAATTTCATATTATTAAATGCCACAATAAATTTAAATGATAATTTATTTGATTGAAAGTTATTAATAATTTCTTCTTAAAAAAAATTTTTTTTATACTCGATATTTATTACACTTGTTATTGTCTAAATTAATCATACTTTTCGAAGTAATTGATCTAGCCTGAAGCTAATTAACAATCTAAAAAAAACGTAGTTATCATAAGTACTTTTTTATTAATGATATAAATTCTAACAAATAATAATTTCTATTGAGAGAGGTGACTCTTCCGAACGAAATATGGCTGGACATATTCAGGAGGATAGACATTCCACAGTTGATGGAACTACGGTTGGTGTGCCGTCACTTCAATGAACTGATAGAAAGTATCTTAAACAAACATCCGGCATGGAAACCTATGACCCATAACAAAATTTTGTACGATTGCTTGGAGCTTACGATGCAGCGGGCTTATCCCTATGACCTGATTACCCATTGGATGGATATTGATGATCCGGTTATCTGGCGAGGAACCTATTTGTCTTTCATGAAATGGCAGAAGGTTCTGGTAAACGATCCGACGAAGGACACCATTGTTTCAACGTCAAATTTCGGGGATGTTTCGTGTGTCTGTACCTTTGGTGAGTTTAAATTCTATTTTCTGCTAAAATGTCTTCAGATTTCCAAAACTAGGCTTGACATTGATTTGTTCTGCAGATAAGTACATAGCAATTGCTTACGAAAACGGAGTGATAGCAAATTACACTGTTGATGACATAAGTCAGCCATTTTACTTAGCACACCACGGCGCCGGCATAACTCAGATCGAATTTTGGTATTCCAGTTACGTAATTACATGATAGATATCTGTTAACAATTTTTAACTGATTCGTAGTTAACTAACGCTAACATACTGTTGATTTCACCTCTAGATGGTGATGTACTGGTTGTACCCCTAGGCGACAACAACGAGTTGAAGTTTTGGGACCTTAAGAACAAAGTTGAGATCGCTACTAATGGTTTCTTCGCTCACAACATCAGGTAATCCACATCAATCTTATTTTTCAAAAACTCTGTTTCTTATTAAATATCAGCGCCAAAAGATTTATTTAGCTGATAAATTATGACCAACAGCTCTGGAGAATGCCGGCATTTCTGCATATGCGATTTGGGAGGAATTCTAACCTCGTATGAGAGAGTTGGTAATCTTATTTCACCTGGCCTGACGAAAAATTTGCAAATCAGGGAGAACCAAGAACTGATGGCGCATTGTCTTGTCGGAAAAAATGTAATCAATATCGCAATTTTAAATGGATTTATCACAAATAATACTTTGATAGCTTCGATTTATAACATTGTATATTGATTCCAGATGAAAGCAGTGGCATATGAAGTGGGCGGTACTGTGCTGTTCGTGTATAAAGGGGACATAGAAGGCGGAAAATTGACTAATTTTAGATTTATCCAGAAGAAAGATTGGATTCGTTTGCCGGACAATTTAGATTCTTCTTTGCAAAGACTGACTATGACGAACATCACATTTTTCTTTGGAATCGGGCGTAAGTTTTAAGATCAATACTGAAAGTCCTTATCTAACTTAGTCTTTTGTCTAATTCAATTGAAAATTATCAGTATACCGTATTGGATCGACTAATTACTATGATGACGATTGGCACGAGTACGACTTGGCTCCGTACTTCGGATCCAACGTCAGGTCGATAGCGCTGCATGCTCAAATTCTGATGTTTGGTCTGGAGGATGGTTCCGTTCATTTACTTTACATTCAAGACTACGATCATGTGATGGAGCTTGAAGAGAGGATCCAAAATTCCAGAAAGATTGAGGTTGATACAGAGCCAATTATTGAGTTGACTATTCTGGAAGTTGACAAGAAACCTTGCATTGTTGCAGTCACTGAACAAAGAGTTCATTTGATTAATTTTTTCTAGAGTATTTCGTTTATGTTTTATAAGTACTAATTGTTATCTTTTGCAATTTTTTATTAGTCAATTAAATGTTAATAATTATTTAATTGAGTAAATTTATCGAAAATTCCTTCAAAAATGGTATTTAGTAATTTTGAGAAGCATAACAAAAGTATTTCTACGTATTATTATTTAAAGACATTCTTCACACTAAGAGGGTCCTTGGATCTCCTTAATAGGGGTGTGCGAATATTCGAATTTACGAATTATTCGCCTCGAATTCGAATCGAATTATTCGATTCGAATTTCGAATCGAATATTCGAATAATTCGAATAGTTCGAATAGTTCGAATAATTCGAATAGTTCGAATAATTCGAATAGTCCGAATAATTCGAATCGTTCAAATAATTCAAACAGCCGTTTTCTGTTGATAAACTAAATAATTTTTGTGTAAAAATTAATTCGTTTTATTTTATTTGACTTAATGAAATCTTCATGATTATTCGATAGTAAAGTCTGCTTATTATTCGTACACTGATAAAAAAATTGATTTGACTCAAGAGCCAAACTCTTGAACCAAGAATTCCATTTTGAAAAAAATAATTTTCTTGAGTCAAGAGAATACATTCTTGACTCATGAAAATTTTCTTGGACTAAGAATAATTTCTTAGCTCAAGAATTTATTGTCTCGATTCAAGAAAATCATTTTCGTCGAAATGGTATTCTTGGTTCAAGAGTTTGGCTCTTGAATCAAATCAATTTTTTTATCAGTGTAATAAATATCTCTTGGTATATTCGGATTCCCCGTCTCGGGGCATCTCGCCAATTTGACATTTTTCCGGAAAATTTCGATGTTTTACAAAATGAAATCTACGGACCTGATAGATCAGACATTAAAAGAATGTCAATATATAGACTGCATTTGGAAATTTTATAGCTTTATTTCTAGCTAAGATTAATAAATTTCATTTTTTTTTCTCTTAACTTAAATAAATTAAGTCTATAGCTACATTACATTACAGTAATATTTATATAGCTCACACGAGTTTTTTTTATATATTTTATATATTCCACAAATATTTTTATATATTTTTTATATTCCACAAATATGAGAAATATCATATAGGTATATAAAATATATGAAAAAAAATCGTGTGCATACTTTAATGAAAGGTCTCGATGAGCGTAATATTAGGATTAGCTTATTTCTTGAAAAATGTTAATAACGAAGAAATGACGTTTTATTTTGTCTACTAATGATATTTTTAACGATCTAAGCTCATCCTGGAGTTACACTTATCGAGACCTTGCATTTGAATACCCACATGTATTTTTCCATATATTTTATTCAAATGATACATCTCATATTTGTAAAATATATAAAA